TTCCTGAGCCCATTTCTTCTATCTCTGTGACTTTTTAAATAAACTTACTCTTATAATTTAAAAAATACATGATACATATGGCAGAGATTGTAATTCATAAGAGGTTTATTATGCATAGTTGATTATTCGCAAGCAAAAGTATCCAAATGGCTTGAGTAGAAGAAATCTATTGGCCTGAGTAATTGAATCACCATATCATTTAGTCAAGTGATGTGGCCAGACCCTGGCAACAGGAGAAATGAAAATTGTATGAAATATCAAAGTACTGGAAATACATCTTCATTTCCATGTGAATAAAGGCAGGAAGGAAGAACCATAAAGTGTCAACAGTCACTGCTTCTGTATAGGAGCTTTGAAAGATATTTTGGAGTTTTCTGATTTTTCTACATAGGTATGTATCAGAATTGACATTAAAATATTTGTAATAGCATTTTTAAAAGTTCATCATTATTCAAGAGGCTAGAAATATATCTTCACACTTTAAGTATTATGAAAACAAAATAGGAATGACTAAATAAAAGGCATTCTACCTGGATTCAGGCAAGTATGAAGGGCTCACTAGATGGAGTCTCCATCCCCCAACCCTGTGTGAAATAGATGACTCTCCCTCCACTCGCTGTCAGGGTCTATCACATTATACTGTTCATTCTATATATATATATATATATATATATATATATAATTGATTTCAGAGAGGAAGGGAGAGGGAGAGAGAGACGAAAGCATCAGTGATGAGAGAGAATCACTGATCAGCTGCCTCCTGCACGCCCCACACTAGGGATCGAGCCTGTAACCCAGGCATGTGCCCTTGACCAGAATTGAACCCAGGACCCTTCAGTAGATGCTCTATCCACTGAGCCAAACCAGCTAGGGCCACTGTTTATTCTTTTCATAGAATTCTCAACTGTCAAAGTAAGTGTTTTTCTTCCCCTCTAAAATAATAATCTATCAGAGAAGGGACCTAACTTATCTCTTCTTTTTCTTTATCCCCAACACCTAAAATAGTGCCTAGAATTCCACATAAATGTTTGGTGGATGAGTGAATGTGAATGTCAGTGAAAAAAACACCACATAGGTAGTCATGGCCATCCCCCTTTGACACTGCTGGACTGACTGTATGTATTTTGGCTGTGGCTGACGTGTGTGTGTGTGTGTGTGTGTGTGTGTGTGTGTGTGTGTGTGTGTGATGTGTGTATACATATGTGTAAGTGTGTGTTTGTTGGAAGTAACGTTGCCATCGGAGAAAGGAATACCATATTTGTTATTATAGAAGGTACTAGAAAATCAAGGGTAGCTGTAGACATTTTGTCATGGCAGTGTATGGTAGTTAAAATCAGGGAGTTGAAAATGGACGTCTTAATTCTCTTAATAAACCTCTTATTATTCTTCAGTATTCTTTTTGTTGTTGTTGTTAATCCTCATCCCAGGATATTTTTTCTATTGATTTCTATAGAGAGTGGAAAGGTGGGAGGGAGAGTGAGAGAAACACCAATGTGAGAGGGACACATCAATTGGTTGCCACTGTCTGCACCCCAACTGGGATCGGGGATCAAACATGAAACCCAGGTGCGTGCCTTTGACCATAAATCAAACCCACAACCCTTCAGTGCTCGGGCCAATGCTCTAACCACTGAACCACAGCAGCCAGGGCTATTCTTCAGTATTTTTAAGTATAGAAGCTGTCACTTTATAAAATACTAGAGGCCCGGTGCATGAAATTCATGCACGGGTACGGTCCCTAGGCCTGTACAACGATTGAAGTGTGAGCGTCTGGCACGGAAGGGCAGGTCCCAGCTGACCTCTGGGCCCTGGGCAGCATCTGGGCATCCATGCCCCTGCGCGCCCCCCTCTGCCTAAGTCACGGTGCCCAAGTCTCCACGCGGAGATGTGGTGAGCACGTCTGGACGCTGCAGGCCAGGGTGCAGCGTGGACCTCTGGGCCGCCTAGCGGCGCCGCATGGAAGCCGGGTGGGCAGCGTGCTCTCTCCCAGCTGGCCTCATAGACCGGCTCCTGTGCAAACCCACAGGGAACCTGACCGGCGGCTGCGGCTCAGCTCACTCAGAAGAGGCTGTGCAGGTTCAGGGCGGGCTCCTCATGGGCGCCCGGCACCTGAGCGCATGGGCTTCCCCGGTGCACGAGCCCTAGCATCCCGGGGGAGGGTAGCAGGGGGAGTGAGAGCGAGCTTGGCAGACACCCCACATTCTCACCACACCTCCATCCCCGTCACTCCCAGGTAGCAGGCAAGAGGGCACAGCACATCGCTGACTGTCGCCCCCCTGGTGGTCAGCGCACATCATAGCGAGTGGTCGAACTCCTGGTCTCTCAGTCAAATGACCACGTGAGGGGACAGTTTGCATATTAGGCTTTTATTATATAGGATTGCTTTGAAAAGTCTCTCAAAATACTTTGTATGCATTGTCTTACCCAAGCCTCTGAGGCTGTACATTGTTTTAAAATATTTTTTTATCAAAGTTCTTAATTTTCTTATTTTTCTAGGTTTTTTCTAATGAGCAGAGACCACAGTTACTTTGTTCTTGTTGTAATTAGCAGGAAATGCAGGTCATGTTGTAGTATTATACAGTGTTAAACAATTAGTTAAACTCTGAAAGAATGTCTTTTATTCTGCTCCCCTTCAGAACTGCACTTAATTTCTTAATTTTTAGACGTTCTGTAAAGGTCACTTTGTGTGTATTCATGAGCCGTATTTGTTTTTTAAATGTATTTAATGCGTTTTCCCCTTCATATATTTTTTTAAAAATATGTTTTTTATTGATTTCAGAGAGAGAACAGGAGAGGGAGAGAGAGGTAGAAGAAAGAATCGTCAATTGGCTGCCTCCTTTGCACACCCCCCTCCTGGGGATTGAGCCCACCATCCAGCTTTGTGCCCTGACTGGGAATTGAATGGTGACCTCCTGACTCAGGGACCAATGCTCAGTCACTGAGCTACACTAGGCTTTTCCTCATTACATGTTAATCTATCCTCTGTGTAGGGAATATAGGAAGGTATAAAGAAAAACTAAAAATTACTAATGAACATTCTGAAACATTAGTCATTTCCTTTTTTGTAATACACAAGATGTATGTGTGTACATATCTATACTAATAAAAGGGTAATATGCTAATTAGACCAGGAGACCTTCCAGATGTCCTTCCAGACAAAGCCATGGTGGCAGGGCCAAGGCAGAGGTGGTTAGGGGAGAGCAGGCCTGCAGGGGATGGGAGGCAGTTGGGGGTGAGCAGCAGGCTGGCGGGGGGGTGGGGCAGTTGGCAATCAGGTCAGCAGGGGGGCGGCAGTTGGGGGTCACCAGGCCGGCAGGGCGGAGCAGTTTGGGGCGATCAGGCCAGCAGGGGGTGGGCAGTTGGGGGTGATCAGACCAGAAGAGGGGACAGTTGGGGACGATCAGCAGGCAGAGTGGTTAGGGGCAATCAGGCAGGCAGGCAGGTGAGTGGTTAGGGGCCAGCTGTCCTGGATTGCGAGAGGGATGTCCGACTGCCAGTTTAGGCCCGATCCCCGCCCCCATGCAGGAATTTCATGCACTGGGCCACTAGTGTCTTATAACATTTTTATCTAATTTTAGAAAATAAAATTGGGATTCTCATCTGCAAATATTTGAATATAATATTAAAATGTGAGCATTTCCCACATTATTGAGTGTTCTTGGAAAACCTTTTGGCCACATGGTATTCTCTATGTTAAGCAATTTATTCAACATTTGTTTTGAACATTTTAGTTACTTGTAAATTTTGCTGTTGGGAATATCACTCAGATAAGAACCCTTGTGCACGGACCTCTCTTAGATAACTGTCCTTGTGTACAGATCTCTGTCTACATTTCCATCTTTCCTAGGGTTGGTGGAATTATGGCCATCAAGTGGGAGTAAACACTTATTGCCAGTTGCTTTTCATGAAGGTCTGTTAGTTTATATTCTCCAAATACTGTATGAGGATGTCTTTTTCTCTGTACTCTGTAAGCTCTGTTGTTGAACCCCAGGGATAAGAGGTAAGGGGTGAGCGGAAGGTGATGCAGGTGGTGTGGACTTGGAGACTTCCCATCTGACGCTCTGTGTTCTGTAAGCACAGAGGCAGGTGGCCTGTGAGAGTGCCCAGGGAGACAGGCAGCAAGTGCTGTTGAGAGAGGAGTCTGTGAGGGTTTATCATCCAGGCTGTTCCCTGTGACTCCCCATAAGGAAATGCTGATGTGGGTCCCAGAGTGACACCTTCTTTAGTTTGCCAAATGTCAAGTTAGGGGCCCAAAGTAAATTTCACAAATAAAAGAGTTCAACTCAGTCCCGCAAGGTCACCTTAATTTGAATGAGGCTTAGTTTAAGAGTGCTTCAGTTGTAATTCATGACTTCATTTTAACAAATAAGTATTTATTGAGGGCCTTCTCTGTACTTAACCCAGTTCTGGGTGGTGGGAATACAAAAGAGGCAGATCCCTTCCCTGCAGGACTTCATCTCTAGTTGTGAATAGGAAATATGCACATGAAACATACAACTAGGAATGCAGACTGGCCCATAATTAAGTGCCCTAATGAAGGCTAACCATAGTTGATTAGTGGTTTGGAGTAATGAAGATTTTCTCATAAAAATGGGTGAGGACTAAGATGGTTAGGAATAAGAGATCTGCTTTAGATAGTGTTCACTTTGAAAAACCTCACCTCAGGGTAGTGGAGTAGCTTTTACTGCTCCCACAAACCTTTCCAGCATTGAGAGGCTCCAGGGTCCTGCCAGGCCTGTTTTACTGATGCATATCTTGAGTTGTCCTGGCTTCCCTTCTGTGATGCTGACTACGTTAATTACTTAATTACTCTGCTGTAGTGAGTTGAAGAAAAGAGGCTTGTGAGATTATTAACTCTTTGCTAACATTTTTGTACCTACAAGTACATTTAAACCAAGAAGTGACTAAATCAACTTGGGGATTCACCAATGTCATATTATCGATTGTATTATCTCTGTTAATATTTTTCTAACATTTCTTGTTTATGTGGGATTTTTCAGATTCATGGAAACAACTACTCTCATAAAGTGGACATCTTTTCTTTAGGCCTCATTCTGTTTGAGTTGTTGTACCCCTTCGGCACTCAGATGGAGAGAGTCAGGGTAAGTTCTCCCGCCTCAAAAATGGTGGAAAAATAAAATACTCTTAAATTTACAAAAGAATTTAAACGGGGAATAAGTTACCCTTTTTTTTGGGGGGGGGGGGGGGTAAATTATTCTTAATACCAGCAGATTGGTTAACTACAAGTGAAGTAGGTAATGTGAACTATAAGGGAGGATTTGTAGACAGTTTGCTTCCATTTAAAGCTCAATCTTAAAAAATTATTTAGTTGAATTTTTAGTTCCTTGTTGTTACTAAAATTGATCCTAACTTAACAGTATCTAGTACTGAGTGACTGTAAGTGCAGAGTGAGGGGAACCATGGGGTGGGAGTGGTAGGAGGCAGTGGTGGCGGCAGTGGGTGGTCACGGGATTGCCACTTAACTCATACACTTAAAAGCTGGCAAACTAAGCATACTCACTTGTGTTTTTTTCCCTTTCAAACCACGGCCATGGCTTTTAAGGAAGACAGTACTGAAAGTGTTTACAAGTACCTCTGTCCCGGTCGGTCTTCCCCATCCTTCATTAAATGGTCACCTTCAGCTTTTGTAGCTGCTGTCCCTGGTGTTAACTTAAACTTAAGCTGTTTCCAAAACTTAAGCTGTTATCACCATTTCTTCATCAGTTTTAGACCTTACTTATTGATTCCTGGCCATGGTAAAAGAGGATGTAGGTCTTGCAGATAGCCAAAGGACTCATATCTTCTAACTATTAGGACCTGCCAGAATGAGTCAATTTCAGAACATCCTAAAAGCCTCCAGAAAGGGATATTAAACAGGCCCAACCTATGTAAAGGATCAGGAATCATATGGCGTCAGGACCCCACTAAGAATGTAAAAATACAGTTTACAAAATGGAAGATGTTTGTGAATCATATATCTGATAAGGTTCTAGTCTCCAGAATATATAAAAAACTATTACAATTCAACAACAAAAAGACAATTCAATTTAAAAATGAGCAAAGGACTTAGACATTTCTCCAAAGAAGGTTTACAAATGTCCAATAAGCACATTATTACGTATTAGGGTCATACAAATCAAAGCCACAATGAAATACTAATTCATTCCATATTGGATGGATATAATAATAATAAAAAATATAACAAGTGTTGGCAAGGATGTGGATAAATTAGAGCCTTCATACATTGCTGATGGGAATTGAAAATTGTACAGCTGCTGTGGAAAACAGTTTGATAGTTACTCAAATAGTTAAACATAGAGTTACATGACTCAGCAGTTTCACTCCTAGGTATACACCCAAGAGAAATGAAAACATATTCAACCAAAAAATATGTACAAAGATGTTCATAGTAGCATTTTTATAATAGCCAGAAAGTAGAAACAACCCAGCCAGCTAATGAATGGCAAAACAAAATGTGAAATGTGGTATGCCCATAAAATGGAATATTATTCAGCCAAAAAAGGAATAAAGTACTAATCTATGCTACAACACAAATGAACCTTGAAAACATTGTGCTAACTGAAAGAAGCCAGACACAAAAGACCAATATTGTACAAATTTTATGACATTTATATGAAATATACAGAATAGACAAATCTATAAAGACAGTAGATTAATAGTTCCCAGGGGTTGGGGGTAGAAGGAGTAGAGAGTGACTGGTTAATGGGTATGGGGTTTCTTTTGGGGGGATGGAAAGGAAATGTTCTGGAATTAGGGGTGATGGTTGTACATGTGAATAGAATAAAAAGCACTGAGATATATACTTCTAAATGGTTTAAAAGGTGAGTTTTATTTCAGTTTAAAAATGTAAATAAAAAACATGTAACTGTAAAAACATTTTGGTTAAATGAAGTCAGTATTTCTCTTGGCCATGCAAATATTATTCTGGCTAGATCATATATACTCTTTTTCTTTCTGATGCAATTCTTTTTTCCAGAATTGCCTTTTCTCAATTACTTAGTTTCCTATGAACCTTGGTTGCAATTTTTAACAAATGTTCAAAATCTGTCAAATATCAAACAGTATTTTCTCTACTTCAATATAGCTTATTTATTTACCTAACTATCACTCGGGAAAGTGGGTGAGTAGGCAGGAAGGCAGATAGATAGATAGATAGATAGATAGATAGATAGATAGATAGATAGATAGATAGATATAGATGATAGATAGATTGATTTTTTTTTCTGTAGTCTTCTCCTCAAAGCCTTTGTCCTTCACTCTGTTCTGATTGCCCCTAGACCTTCTATAAGTCTTCAGCCAAGGACATACTTTTCTACCCTCCTAGCCTGGCCCCCCTTGTTTCCTGGATTCCAGGTTTCTCCCTTTTTCTTGCATTACTCTCTTATTTTGCTAGAGCACATTCTGCAATAAATGCCTCAGAAGGAATATATGAGAGATACATTTTTAGAGTCCTCAAGTATGTGAAAATGTATTTTTTTCATCTTCACACATAATTGATAAATTGGCCAAGTTCCAATTCTAGATTGGAAATAATTTTCCTCAGAACCTTGAGGGCATTGATTGGCTCATGTAGCTTCACAGCACTGCTGTCCAGAAGCTGATACCTGAATTGTTTATATGGGATGTTTGACCTGTTTTATTTTTCTTTCTGGAAGCTTTTAGGGCTTTACCTTTATCAGTGCTGTTATGAAATTTAGTCCTCATTGACCTTTTTTCCCCCCTCACTTACTGTGCTTGATACTTGATAGGTCCTTTCAGTTAAGATATAAATCCTTCAGTTCTAATAAATTTTTTTAAAAATAAGTTCTACAATTTTTGTTTCCTTTTCCTGAAATGCCTGACTTAATCTTAAATACGTATTATTTTTTTCTCCTATTTTCATCTTTCTGTTTTTTAATATTGTTCTTTGTAAGAGTTCCTTAACTTGCCCGGCTGGTGTGTTTCAGTGGTTGAGTGTCGACCTGGGAACCAGAAGGTCACTGGTTTGATTCCCAGTCAGAGAATCAGTGTTAGGAATTCTTTCTCATCATTGATGTTTCTATTTCTGTCTCTCCCTTACTCTCTGAAATCAGTAAAAATACATTTTTTTAAAATATATATTTTATTGATTTTTTACAGAGAGGAAGGGAGAGGGATAGAGAGTTAGAAACATTGATGAGAGAGAAACATCGATCAGCCGCCTCCTGCACACCTCCTACTGGGGATGTGCCCACAACCAAGGTACATGCCCTTGACCAGAATCGAACCTGGGACCCTTCAGTCCGCAGGCCAACACTCTCTCCACTGAGCCAAACCAGTTAGGGCAAAATACATTTTTTTTAAAAAGAATTCCTTAACTTGTTATTTCAACTTTTCTATTTTTTTATTTTGACCATCCAGTTTTTATTGTTCAAGATTGTTCCTTTTTAATAGCACTTTACTCTTTTTACCTGGATTTTGTATCTTATCATACACCTCAGTTGTGTGTGTATGTATGTGTTTTAAGTTTTCTTCACCCTGTATTGTCTCTTTCTTCTGGGTTTTTAATTTTTTTTTTTTAATTAATAGAGAGCCACAGGAAGTTGCAAAGATAATACAGAGAGATTTAATGTGCTCCTCACCCAATTTCTCCTAATGGTTACATCTCACATAAATTGTAGCACAATATCAAAACCAGGAATTTCACCTGGGTACAATGTGTGTGTGTAGCTCCATGTTATTTTACCTCAGGTGTAGATTGTGTAACTGCCACTGCAATGTAGACACAGAACTGTTCCATCACAGAAACTCCCTCCTGCTCCCCTCATAGTCACGCTTCCCTCCTTGCTAAAATCACTAACTCTGGTTTTTAATGATTTTTTAAAATCATGTTGATAATCCTCACCTGTTCATTCATATTTAAGAATAGGGCTCTCGCCAAAACCGGTTTGGCTCAGTGGCTAGAGCGTCGGCCTGCGGACTGAAAGGTCCCAGGTTCGATTCCGGTCAAGGGCATGTACCTGGGTTGCGGGCACATCCCCAGTAGGAGATGTGCAGGAGGCAGCTGATCGATGTTTCTCTCTCATCGATGTTTCTAACTCTCTATCTCTCTCCCTTCCTCTCTGTGAAAAATCAATAAAATATATTAAAAAAAAAAAGTAAAAAAAAAAAAAGAATAGGGCTCTCAAGTGGAGACTGGAAGGACTTCACTGTAAGGGCTACAATTCGGTTCTTATCTTTGATGTAGTAGAGAAGTCCCCAATTCAATGTCTGTAGGCTTTCTAGAACCATTTTCTCCGGAGAAGTGTCTCTCGTTCTCCTGAGGAGAAAGTGTGGGTGATGGGGATGTGTGCAGCTCTGCACCTCATCCTGCTGTTCTGTGCCCACCACAACGCATGCCTCCTTTCTGCTGAGTACTCCAAGTCTGGACTTTCTTGGTTCAGTTTCTCCAGAGAATAAGCCTCATATGTTTACATGCGGATGTGTCACTCTGTGTACATACTTCCAGGTCATCCCCTCCCTGTTTATTGGTGTTATCCCTGTAGGCAGCCTGGCTTACCTTCCTCTCTTCTGCTGAGGTAGTTGCTATGCTTCCATCCACTTTCTGTCTTCCAGACATTTGACTTTTCTCCCAGTGCACTCATCCTTATAGACTTAGTATACATTTTACATTGTTACATTGTTTTAGTGCAAATGTTTACTGAACATGTGGTAGGAAATATGCCGTGTTGAGCCAGAATCTCTCCGGAGTTCTTTAAGTGCATGTGAAACAGACCATTTTATGATTTGAACAAAGTCCTTTTTAAATAAATTTTATTGAAGCACAATTTACACACAGTAAAGTATAACCACTTTAAGTGTACAGTTTGATGAGTTTTGATGAATTTATATTCCCGTGTAACCACTACTACATTCAAAACATGGTCCATTTCTATTACCCCAGAAGGTTTCCTTTGCTCTTTCCCAATCAGTCCCTACCACCACCCCAGGCAGCTGCTCATCTACTTCCTGTTTTTTCTAAAACTTCATATAAATGGAATCTTTCAAAACATACTCTTTTGTGTCTCCCTTTTTTGACTCACCAACAAGTTTTTGAGACTCGTTCATGTTACTCAGTGTATCAGTAGTTCATTCATTTTTATTAGTGAAATTCCGTTGTATGTATACCATAGTTCATGTATCCATTTACCTATTGAGAACATTTATGAATAAAGATACTGTGAATATTTGTGAACAAGTCTTTTGTAGACATGTTTTCATCTGTCGTGGGTACTGACCTAGGTAGGACTGATAAGCTGTGTGGGGAGTGGTTTACATTCATAAGCAAGTGCCATTTTCCATTCCCACACAGGTGTAGGAGAGTTCTGGTTCTTTAACATCCTTGTCAACACATATGTTTCAGTTCTGGAATTAGATAGTGGTCTTTTTTCAATTCTAAGTTTTAAATAAAAAACTTTGTTTTAAAATATTATATAATTAAAAGTTGATTCAGTGAGTTCAGACTCCAGCGTTTACCTGCACTCAGTTTGGTGTGATCCACCTGTTAGCACATGGAACCCTCTTCTGTGGGCCTGCGGCACAGGCTCGTCTGGTTAAGTTTCTGTTTTCTTTAGTGGGAAGTAACAAATGACAACCTAGTTCCACTTTTTTTTTTTTTTAAGTACACTCCAGCTTCTTTCTTTCTCTCTCTCTTTTTTTAATTTTAATTTTTTTTTTATTGAATTTATTGCGGTGACATTGTTTAATAAAATTTTACAGGTTTCACATGTACAATTCTACAATACATCATCTGTATATTGTATTGTGTGTTCACCCCAATTTATGTCTTCTTGCACCACCATTTATCCCCCCTTTACCCTCTCCTACCTCCACGCACCCCTTTTTCAGCTTATTTCTTAAGAAATATAAAGATTTATTTGCTTTATTTCATTTCTAAAAACTGGTTTTGTCTAAAGGGGACATATGTAATACTTTCAACAATAAAATATTATTTAAAAAAATAAAAACAAAACAAATTTTTAAAAAACAACAAAAAACTGGTTTTGTCCTCATTACAGAAGTACCAGGTTAATGGGGGGAAAAGGAGGACCTATGTAATACTTTCATCAATAAAGGTGTTTTAAAAAAAAAGAAGAAGTTAAGATGAAAAAGCAAAAAATAAAGTATCAGGTACTGTGCAGGTACTGATTTAACCTCATTTAATTCTCACAGTTGTATAGGGCGGACCGTATTGTCTTTGTTTTGTAAACGAGGAAACTGGAACATGAAGAGTAATAATTTATCTGAAAACTTCCCAGAGAATTTTTAAAAGCTTAGTTTTATACTCAGTACTTAGCATTATTGTTTGGTTTCCATCACTCAAAAAAATAAAAAGGAAAAGAATATGCTTTTTTTAAAAACCAAGTGCAGAGATGTTAGGAGCTGATAAGAAAGGTTACCCACTGAAGGACACTGGATTCCTGAGAGCTGAGTTACTTTGGTACTCGTCAGCCTGTGCTCAGCCACAGGCCAGGTGTTGGCTCCATGTGCATAGTTCAAGTATAATTACACCTGAGTGATTCTTTGGTTTTGGTGATTGGATGTTGTGTGCACGTGGGCCCAGGAAATAGCGATGTGTAGGTTACCATCAGAAAAAGCTACTGATGAGTTCTCCACCTGTTAACATTCACCCTCTCTCCTTGGTCATGCCTCTAAAGCAGTGGTTCTCAACCTTGGAACCACTGCTCTAAAATATCAAAAATACTTCATGTTTAAATAGATCTATATATCAAAATAGATTTAAAGATAAGTAACACCTTTTCTCTTACTTTTCTTTCTTTTTAGGTCTTAACTGATGTAAGAAATCTCAGATTTCCACCACTGTTTACTCAGAAATATCCTCGTGAGGTTTGTATAATTCTCATCTTTTATTTTCTTTAGAATCATATTTAGAACTTAAAGGGTCCTTAGCGGTCAGTTCATCAATTGCCCCATTTTACTGATGAAGCTACAGGTGTAGGGAGGACAGGAACCTGAGCCAGAGCATCGTCTTGTTAAAACAAGACTGGAGCTCCTCAGGGCCATGGGCCTGGTCTGTGCTCCCAAGCTGCTGGCGTTCTGCCTGTGGATTGTAGCCACCTTTCCCTTCTACAGGGCTCAACTCCAGGTGGACCTCGCAGGACAGTTGTTATTGTTACCATGGAATTAATGGCTTTATCTTTGTGAATTTGGGAGCGATCTTAAAAACTGGCTTCTTTGGGGTGGGGGGCATTAGGTCCTACTGATTGTGTGTTGGAGTCAGATGGCTCAGAGTGCCACAGTAGAATGTCAGGAGAGGGGTGGGACATAAGCTAGTCTTGTATGGTGAAAGTTATGTGTGATGAACCTTTGACGGTTTCTTTTTTCAGCTTTTGTTTATTTTTATTTCATAAAATGTTTTGTCCACATACCCTTTAAAATTTACACATTGATTACTCTTGAATTTTCTTAAATAATTAAGTTGAAGTAAGTTAAACTTAATCATAGATTGAAGTTTAAATTTATCTTTCAGTATTATAAGTATAAAGGATTGCATTAAAATGAATTTTATAATAATAGATACTGGTACACTAACCTAAATGAAATATATTTTTATTAAAAATCATTTCGTTATATATTTTGCAGATTTAATAACTCAATTAAATGAGAATATGTTACATTAAAGGGGTTCAAAAAATTCTTAAAAGTGTCAGGTGTTGATCTCTGGCGTAGTTATATTTGAATTGAAATTTTTATTGAGATGATTGTACATTCATGTGCAGTTGTAAGTGAATTTGTTTCTAGAGTCAGATTATGTGTGTGTTTCAAGGATATGATTTAGGACTCTTTATTACATCTTAGATAACAAGCAATTACCCACAGTGGCCCATATTTATTTGGAGCAGGAGTTGGCCAAGTCCAGCCTGCTGCCTGTATCTATATTAATAATAAAGGAATATGCAAATTGACCAGGATGCCATCATGTAATGACCAATCAGGACGGGAGTGGGGTCGCGGTGGAGAGCTCTCAGCACGCCTGCGCCAGGGGTCCGAAGGGCGTGGAGAGGAAGGGAGAGCAGATAGGCAGTTAGGGGGATCAGGCCAGGAGGGGAGCGGAGACAGGCAGTTAGGGGGATCAGGCCAGGAGGGGAGAGCAGTTAGGCAGTTAGGGTGATCAGGCCAGGAGGAGAGAGCAGTGGGGATCAGCCCGGCAGGGGAGAGCAATTAGGAGGATCAGGCCAGGAGGGGAGAGCAGGTAGGGGCATCAGGCAGGCAGGTGAGTGGTTAGGAGCCAGTGGTTCCGGATTGCGAGAGGGATCCCGGATTGGAGAGGGTGCAGGCTGGGCTGAGGGACCCGCCCCTCCCCTGTGCACAAAATTTCATGCACCAGGCCTCTAGTCCTATCTAATAATAGAGAAACATGGTAATTAGCCATACCTCCGCTACCCTTCCCATTGGCTAATCAGGGCGATATGCAAATTAACTGCCAACCAAGATGGCGGCCAGCAGCCAAGCAGCTTGAAGCGAACAGGAGGCTTGCTTGCTCCAGTGACGGAGGAAGCCAATGTTCCCCACCTGCCTTGCCGGCCTCTGAGCTGCTCTCTAAGAAACATTGTTACAAATATAGAAGCTAAACAAACTCCAGAAACCTGCTTTCAGCCGTCAGAGCTGGAGCGAGCAGGACTGAAACAATGTTTCAATTATAGAACCCAAACAAACCCAGATCCCTGCTTTCAGCAGCCGAGGTCTCAAGCTGGAGCTGGCTCTCAGCTCCAGTGACAGCCATAGAAGGTAAATAAACTCCAGAATAAAAAAAGAAGAGAAAAAAAGGAGAGGTTGGGAGCTTCAGTCGCCCGCCAGCCTGAAAACGACCTTCAGCCCCTCACCCAGACTGGCCAGGCACCCCAGTGGGGACCCCCACCTTGAAGGGGGTGTGACCAGCTGCAAACAGCCATCATCCCCTCATCCAGGCTGGCCAGGCACCCCAGTGAGGACCCCCACCCTGAAGGGGGTGTGACCAGCTGCAAACAGCCATCATCCCCTCATCCAGGCTGGCCAGGCACCCAAGAATGGCCCCCATCCTAATCCGGGACACCCTTCAGGGCAAACCAGCCGGCCCTCACCCGTGCACCAGGCCTCTATCCTATATAGTAAAAGGGTAATATGCCTCCCAGCACCGGGATCAGCGGAGCAGCGAGGCCTCACTGCCCATGTGTCAAGCGGAGCCGCGAGCCTCCCAGCATTGGGATCAGATGAGCCGCGAGCCTCCTGGCCCCTGGAGCAGCGTGACAGGGGCAGCGCCCAAACCCCCCTGATCACCCTGCGGTTTCTGTGTGTGACGGGGCGGGGCCACAGCCTCCCTATCCGCCCTGCTCTATTCCTGACAGGGGAAAGGCGCCCCAACGCCCTGATCGGCCCTTCTCTGTGCCTGATAGGGGGGAGCTCCCCAGCCCCCTTGATCGGCCCTGCTCTGTGTGTGACATGGTGCAGCGCCCCAACCCCCCCCATGGGCCCTGCTCTGTGTGTGAAGGGGTGGAGCTGCAACCTCCTCATCGGCCCTGCCCTGAGTGTGATAGGGGAAGGCGCCCCAACCCCCTGATCAGCCCTTCTCTGTGCCTGATAGGGGGGAGCTCCCCAACCCCCTGATTGGCCCTGCTCTGTGTGTGACAGGGGTCGGTGCCCCAACTCCACCATGGGCCCTGCTCTGTGTGTGATGGGGTAGAGCCGCAACCTCCCCATCCGGCCCTGCCCTGAGTGTGACAGCAGCGGCGCCCCAACCCCCTGATCGGCCCTGCTCTGTGGGTGACAGGGGTCGGTGCCCCAACTCCCCTATCAGCCCTACTCTGTGCGTGACAGGGGGGAGCTTCCCAACCCCCTGATCGGCCATGCTCTGTGCATGACAGTGTACGGAGCCCCAACCCCCCTAATGACCCTGCCTTGAGTGTGACAGGGGGCGGTGCCCCAGCCCCCCAGTCAGCCCTACCCTGAGCGTGACTGGGGGTGGCATAGCAACCTCCCGATCTGCCCTGCTCTGTGCATGACCAGGGAGCTCCCCAACCCCCTGATAGGCCCTGCTCTGTGTGTGACAGGGTACGGAGCCCCAACCCCCTGATCCGCCCTGCTCTGTGCATGACAGGGGGTGGCGCCCCAACTCCCCAATCGGCCCTGCTCTGAGCCTGACCAGGGGCTGCACCTAGGGATTGGGCCTGCCCTCTGCCACCCGGGAGCGGGCCTAAGCCAGCAGGTTGTTATCTCCCGAGGGGTCCCAGACTGTGAGAGGGCACAAGTGGGGCTGAGGGACACCCCCGCCCCCGCCAGTGCACAAATTTTTGTGCACCGGGCCTCTAGTATATATATATATAAGCCTAATATGCAAAGTGTCCCCTCAGGAGTTCGACTGACCGGGAGTTCAATCGCTTGCTATGACGTGTGCTAACCACCAGGGGGCGGCGCGGAATGAAGGAAGGCCCAGGCTGATAGCTGGCAGCTGCTAGGGACCCTACCTGTGCACAAATTTTGTGCACTGGGCCTTTAGTTTTTGTAATAAAGTTTTGGTATCCAGCCATGCCCATTTGTTTGCAATCTGTCTGTGGCTGCTTTTGTATTGCAGTGGCAGAGCTGAGAAGTTGTAGCAGAAGCTGGCTTGCAAACTTAATATGTTTACAGAAAAATTTTGCTGACTCTTGAACTAGGGAACTGTTTAGTGTTCTAAATCTGACCCATTTATCACAAAACAATTTTTATATTTCAGTATATGATGGTTCAAGAGATGCTCTCTCCATCCCCCATGGAGCGGCCTGAAGCTGCACACATCATTGAAAACACTGTATTTGAGGACTTGGAGTTTCCAGGAAAAACTGTGCTCAGGCAGAGGTCCCGCTCCGTGAGTTCATCAGGAACAAAACCGTCAAGACACTCCAGCGACTCCCGTAGCCCTTTGCCAAACAGTTCACCTTAGGTTGTGCCTGTGCCCTAACAGATGACACAGAATAGTCTCTGCTTAGGAATGTGACCTTCCAAAATTGTAGACTTGAGAACTTTGTTCTTTGCTCAGTTTTATTTTGAACTACTTTTTCTAAGTCAAATTTAAACTGAATTTTGGGGCACAACCTAATTTGAGCCAACTCTTGATTTTTGCTGTCCTCGAGGAGAGAACCATCACTAAATCACGTGTGGTCCTTTTTCTTGGTGGGTCTCTTGAAACTGGCTGGCCACGCTCTGTAGCCCTCACCTGTTGCCTGGCGAGGTCAAGCAATCCCTAAAATTAATAGAGAGATATTTTTATAGCACAGAATCATGAAAATCCCTACGTACGGTAGCTATATTGTTCTAGAAATACGCTTTCTAGAGATACTGCTGATTTTTAAACTGATTTCCAAAAAGCTGACTCCATTTTTGTCTCAGTGGGTAAATCGGGAATCTGCACTATTTGGGAGGACAAGTAGCACAAACTGCACAATGGTTTACGTCCATATCTAGTTCTGTAGTGGCCTCGGTAGCATCATAGCTGTTTCTCAGATGGTCCAGGGAGGGTGTAAGAGCTTGTGCTTTACCTCCAAAAAAGGGAATGAAGCTTTTATGTAAATTGGTCAAAAGTTCTGGTTTGGGGATGAAAAAAGGCCGTAGTAAGAAATGAATCACATTTTACAGTTAACTTCTTTACTTATGGACTTCAAACCGAATAAAATCTTAAGTGTCTTATATGTAATTCTATAGGCAGGTCGTTTTCCAAAACTGATTATAGATAACAGTTTAATCATCTAACTTGTTTTTATTTTCACTGTAAATATGTTTATTTTTTATTTATAAAAATTCTGAACTCAATCCGTTTGGGTTGGTGGTATATAGAACACACTTAAGTGTGTTAACTATTGTGACTTCTTTCAAGTCTAAATGATTTAATAAAACTTTTATTAATTACTTATGGTCGACTCTGATTTGGGGGAATTAGCCCCAAATGGTAGTTTTTCAGATTTATAAAATATGATTCTGCATCTAAGAAGGGTCATAAGCCTACCCTCAAACTCACTCCTAACCTGTTCCAAACCCATGTCTTCTCTGTTCTTTTCCAAAGATTTGACCAGGGCCATGTCCTTTTCAGAACCCAAGGGCTGAGTCCAGAGACGTGTGCTCAGCCCCACTCGGCTGGACTGAGAACTGAAGAGGACCCTGCCCTGGAGGGAGACCTCAAGGCCAGGGCGTGGCCTTGCTGGCTTTGCTGATGCCACTGTGTGTCTGATGTGTGCCACATGAAGGTCCGTGGCATGCTGGGTGATTAGTACAACTTAGCCAGACAACCTTTAGGTCAAGGTGCATGCTTACTTTCATTTCTCAGACAGGTAATGTCGGTCTCACAAAGTTATGAGCAGTTTTCAAGCTGGAAATCATGTCACAGACCTTCACTCCTCAGTGCAGCCTGACCATCGTCTTTGTCCCCAGGCTCCATGTGGCTGCCGGCCAGCCATCCCACCTCTCTTCTCTTGGTCAGCCTGCTTCCATTGCTGCTCTCCTACCTTCTTTCCTCTTCACCCCCTCCAGTTACCGCTGCAGACCCTGCGACCCTCACAGGTACCCTGAGGGCTGACCTTGGCAGGTGTTAGGATAGCTGTTCTACCTGTGGGGAGGCCCAGGTCCAGAAAGGTTCTGGGTTTGCCCCCGATCGCAAAGCCAGCAAAATCAGAACTGGGACCAAACCCCTGGTATTCTGACTCCCAGTCAGAGTTTTGCCTACTCCCTGTCCCAAGCTGTCTAAGGATTTGCAAAATTTTTGCACAGTATAGTCAGTCCTGCCTTCATTTTCATTCTGCCTGTGCCTTCACTGGCCTCAGGAGGAAAGCAGGCACAGGAAGTTCAGGACTGGACCAGCAGAACCTAGCGAGTCTTTGATGGCAGACAGAACAGTGTGTTTTCACCCAGAGCCCTTCTGCTGACTCCAGACCTACTCTCCTCTCAAGTCATTGCTTTTCTGGCATCTTTCTGAGCCCTTCCCTTCACACGTGCCTCTCCTTCGAGCACTTTGTGCCTAATAACACTTACCATGGTCAAGGCCACAGTAATTGATGTAAGTCGGCTTCTTAAATAGCTGAGGTCCCAGGGGTAGGGGCATACCTTGTGATGCCAGCAATGCCTAGCATAAATCCCGGTCCTGGATTACATATTTGTGGAATTGAATTTGGAGAACGTAACTCTGACATAGCTCAGGAAATAGCCAAATGAGGAATGTGCCAGTCACTGCAATAAATATTTGGCAAAGGTATAACCCTCCTGGACTCTGCCCCGCCGAGAAGTAGCTGCCACTAGGTGGCTCATTTTCACCTTTTCCCACAAGAAGTAAACAGTTGAGGGCTGAAATAAAAACCTTACTCCCCCCTGTCAGGTATTCCCCTCATCCAGACACAAGGACAGCATGACAGTCACGTCTAGAGGTGACTGACCTAAACATACCTACCAAGTCCCACAATGTTTTTGCCATGAACTGCCTTTAAATTCTTCAAATGGGCAGTGACTTAAAAAAATAAAAATGGGAGCGGTGTGCCCAGTACTTCCAACAATCGTGGGTCCCTACTCCCTGGGGAAGGTTTCGGGGGAGGACAGGAGTTAGGAAAGCGTTCTCAATAGTGCCAGCACAGAGAAATAGATGAATTTGAGAATTATTTTTGAGGAGAGAGGCTGGGACACTGGAATTAACTGAATACAGGTGAAGGAGAGGAAGATGGCTCCTGGTTTGTGCTTGACCTTTGATAGAGGACAGATGTTCTCTTGTGAAAATAGTGAGTTCACAGAACTGTGGTGAAAAGTTGGGGCTTTACTGAATAGAATGGGAAGCCCTTGAAAGTCTGTGAGCTGAGGAAGGCTATGAGATGCTGAGATCACTGCGGCAAATGAGGCGGGTGACTGGAGAGAGGAGCCAGGACAGAGAAACAGGCAGAGGCTTCTGTCCAGGTAGAGGTCAGAGGACCCCAGCCATGTCATTGGGAGCCCAAAGACATCCTGGGACCGGTGGCTAAAGGTCTGCTGGTCCCCAACAGTCAGAGGCCACCCTCTGTCATTGCCTTTTAGTGTGGATTTTTTAAAAATTAAATTTAAAAAATTTTAATTTTTTTTTTTTTGAGAGAGAGGCATTGATTTGTTGTGTCACTTATTTCTTCATTCATTGGCTGATTCTTGCATGTGCTGTGACCAGGGATTGAACCCAAAACCCAAGTGAATTGAGACGAGGCTCCAACCAACTGAGCTGCCGGCCAGGGCTAGTGCAGACTTCTGAAGGATTTCTTCAGGGCTGCTGCAGTGCGTGGCTGGGCACAGGCTGCCTTCTGAAATGACATGAGCTTTCAGAAGGCACTCAGAGATGTTGTCAGAAACAAGGGCAGGGGGAATGTGGGTGGGGAGAGGATTGGAAACAGCTTGGGGCCCAGGGAGGAGCCTGGCAGAATGTTCACTCCCCAGAAAGGTCACATAACTGCCTAGAGAAGGTTTGAGAGGTTTGATACTGAGAAGTAATGAAGGGGGAAAGGGTGTTCTCTCTCCAAAAGAATTTTTTGAAGAAAAACTTAGGGCAATGACTGAGTAAATGAAGGGCGTTTGTACAATGGATATTATGCAAATGAGTAACAGTGTAAATGGAATGATTGTCTATGAAGCAGCTACCCGGTAAATGACAAGTCTGCAAGTTGCAGAGGAGCTTGACTAGCATGACTGCAGCCAAAGGAGACAGTTTCTCTCTGTGTTTAAATGAAATACTTGCATGGGCATAGGACGTTTACAAGTATCCACACCAAACCCCATACTGGTTGCCTTGGGAGAGTGGAATTGGGGGAGGGCTATGCGGGAGATGAAGGTTACCTTCAACATGCATTGCAGTCATTGTTTGACTTCTTCCAACTGATGCACTACTTGGGGATTAGTACTATTACATTAATAAAATGAAAAAGGAAACCAATAAACCGCATCTACAATATTTTAATGGATCTCATCTTTGTATCCTGCTTTATAGTTTAGAAGGATTTAATGTCTCATTTAATTCTACTAGGACCTCTGCAATTCAGATATTTCCACTGCTGTTTTTATATGTGAGGAAACAAGACAATTATTAAAGGAACTAGAATAGCATAATAGGACACTTACAATAATCCACTTACCATTCCATCACTCTCTTTGCATAACAGTTCTCACTTTGAATTCCCTTCAATCCAGAGGGCATTTTGGAGGAAGGAGGGAGAGGTAGGGAGATCCCCCTGGCTCTGCAATTACAGCCTGCTGCTCTGTTTACAGCTTTCTCTGAGCTCAGTAATCTCTTTTCTTCACAGCAGATAACTCAGGTCGAAGATCAAGGGATAAGATAGGTAATGTTTAGCATAGAAGCTGGTAAGTACTAAGTACTCAATAAGTAGAGGTTTAAAATTAACTCGTAGCCTTAGTTTCTTCAACTCTAAAATAGGCATAATTGGTCAAGAGTTATTCTGAGGATTAAATAACATAACTGTGGTTTAAAGATAGACAAAAATGTAGTATGTAAGCAAATCTATGATTACAACATGTGGGAAAATAGAAAGAACCCCTGGCTGTTACTGTTGGGCACTCAATAAATGGAAAGGAAAGAAACAAGAGGAAAGAAGAAAAGAAAATCTCAGTAAAATAATGAGAGTATATGCAATATAAGTACGATATATGAAGCCTTATGGTACTGCGAAAATGTAGACGTTGACTGGACATTTGACAAGGCTGGCATTTGATATGTGTGAAAAGTGTTATGCTGATATGAAGGCAAAGTAATCTAGAAATGTCCTATGTTATACTGGGGATTGGGGCTCCCGTGCAGGCGGGTGTGTGGGTGTGTGTGTGTGCGTGCGCTGGGAATTTTTCCTTTCTTCTAGGGCTTTAACCCTAAGCTGTCGGTCAACAAGTATCCTGAAAATCAGCCCCCTTTTGACTCGGAGGTTTGTCAGGCGCAGCCTGGCAGGAGGGTTTGGGGATCAAAGCTATGCAGCTGGGGCGGGGAATCCGGCTCCCTGCTCCCGGCTCTTGGAGCCACTGGAAGCCCCGCCAAGAGTTAGTGCTAAGACCTGGCTAAGAGGAAGAACTTAGACTGGCCACGTGGGGGCGACAAGACACTGAGGAAAGACTGGGGTGCCCTGGGCTTTGAGGGGACTTGGTATCACAGTTAGTCCCCCTGGGGCAGAGGCAGTGAGTGCCAGGGGCAATGGAGGTGTGGTGCTGGGTTGGGGGACACTGCACCCCTGGAGGAGTAGGTGGACGGGAGGAGCCGCGCCCTCCGTCATCAGTTACTACCGATCCTCCACAGGGCGGTAGGCTCCTCCGTGGGAGGCAAACATTCATGGACATGGACGGCCCGCCACATGCCAAGCCACTGTACGTCCATGAAATCTCATCTAGCCCTCGCAACAACCTGGGGGATATTATCACCCCATTTTATAGAGAGGAAGCGGAGGCTCACGGAAGATTTATTGCAAGGTGGATAATTAGGCAACTCACAGCGAAGTGTAAATATTTATGAATGAATGAATGGAAAAAGCTCCACCTTTTCCGCTATTCGTCTGGGGATACAAATGTGAGCAACAATGGGATCCCATTTCTCCACTATTACCTGGAAAATTGTTGAAATGTTTACCTGTGTGAGGGAAAATGTGATGAAAAAACCTCTTCCACAGCGGGAAAGATAGAAACATCAGTGGTGAGAGAGAATCAGCTGCCTCCTGCAGGCCACACACTGGGGATGGAGCTCGCAACCCAGGCATGTGCCCTGTCTGGGAATCAAAAACCTGACCTCCTGGTTCATAGGTCCTCGCTCAACCACTGAGCCATGTCATCTGGGCCTGGTTTTTCTGTTGTTGTTTTTAAGCTTTGTCCTTTCTATTTTGATTTTTCACAGTGAAAATTTTATATCGGATAGGCATTCCCTGTA